AAAGGCTGCCTGAAGCAGCTGCTCCCACCAGCTGAAAGGAATAACCGGCCTTAAAAATGACGAGTGAATTGATATTCAATTTTTATTTTCAGCTTAGGTTCAGGGTTTGCCATTATCCAACTTATTCTATGTCTGGCTATTGGAAACTTCGTAAAGTTATTCGATGTTGCAAATTATTTGATTGTTTCAAATTCCAAATGCAGCCTACTTTATCACAGATTATTAGAATTTGTTTCTGATTGATGTTAAGGATATAGTCTGCTAATTTTACAGACTTTTTAATGCCCCCCATAGGCAATCAAACTTTTACTTCATTTTTAATGCCATAGGATGAAACCTAGATTTCATGCATCGAACGTTCTTCCTTAGCCGATTATTTTTAACTTAGCGTCAGCGAAAATTCTATATTTTTCAAATTCATGATTAATTCGAGAAGTATGGAATTGGATGAAACTAAGACTTCGACTTAGTGAGAAAGACAAAACTGAATCGATAACAAATGCGAGACCAAGCGCCCTTCGAATTTTTCACCCATATAACTAGCGCGGCAAATCACCTTAAGCTTGTCTGCGTTTTTTAGTGAGAACAACAGATGACTTTCTTTTGCAAGCAATCGATCTTGCTTTTAGTTTTGTACAGCGACTAATGCATAAAGCAAAGGGAATCTATGCTTAGTTTCCACTCATATGACTCAATATTAATGAACTGGTCATTAGAGGAATGCTCGATGGCCTTAGGCGTGACTAAAGAGAAATTTTGTTCCCAGGTCTTCAAGCGTGTTAGAACACCACTGGCAAGCGTTACATCTTCAGATGGCTTCATCAGCAGATTGACGACTTGATGGTTAGTGATTAACGACGAAGAAAGAACAAGAGCCGGTCGTCAAGCCTGCGTGTTATTCAGAGTTAGCAAAACAGACGAAGCATCGAATAGCACTTGTTCGCAGCTTTCGGGAAGCGAACTACCAATTGCCGTTGCATTTTGTTATATTTCACCATACTACAAATGTCAGGTCATGTGAACCTGCTATCATATAATCCAGACTAGCTGCACCGAGGTCTAACTTTGAGTTGCTTGCTCAATTATTCTGTACATGATGTACTATGTTTTGCAGGCCCAGGCCCCTTCAATAGACATAGATAAAAAAAAGAGGTTGGTCCTGATGGAGAAACTTGCTGAACACAAATCGCCTGCTTCAGCCTGTGAGTTTTTGAGAAGGTGGAAACACGGCGCACGTTGATCCGACAGACAATGCATAGGAACAAGGTGAAGACAGATCTGCTTTTGAAGAAATTTTTCCTTCTACGATGCAGTAACTTCTGCCTGATAGCAAGTATGTTTGAAACAGCGAAAATCACTAAACGGAGACGCTTCACACTTATGCAAACAGCACAACAACAACAGCTTATTGTTCCAGCTCCAACACAGATCTTTTTGCTGAAAGCCGATGATCGCAACAAAGACAACAAATGTGCAGCACAGTTGTGCATTAAATGACAATTCACTGACGAAAGGTTTCTGTGAAAATGATGGTTCTGTCTGATGAGTGTCGAGGGAAATGTACATGTATTCTTATTAGCTGCAGCAGATGAATGCTCCCAACTATTTTTTATGAATGTTGTTACGTACAAACGAAGTAGACCTGTACACATTAGAGTGGTTAAGGGCCATAGATAGCATTTGCAGAATAAATTAGGCATTTCCAGTGGATGACATCGAAACGCAGTTGTCGTCCAATCCTGAGTTCCGTGGACCGAAGGAGTGACATGTAGCGCCGTCGTTTAACTGCCAGGCAACTCATCGTCCCAATGGACACATACTTTTCCTTCGTAGTTTTTAGTACGTTATCGTTCAGCAGTAAAGGAAACTCAAGGAGGATAGAATGTTTTATGTCATTTTTACGCAGTCCTGCGCAGACAAACGGGTAGTTGACTTGCTATTAATTAAATTAATAGTTTATGCCTTGTACTGATTTTTAGTCATCTATTAGGTGGATAAGAACGAATTGCGGCCACATAGAGCGTTCCTCAAACCTTATAAGCATTATCACACCAAACTAAACTTCAATGATGTCACAGCTTCTTACTGCCGTCGATGCAACGATAAGTTGATGCAATACTCATCACTTAATTTTGCTATTCTAGTTGAAAGAATAACAAATGCTTCTTTAATTTTTTTCGAACGACTGTTTTTTAATAATGACGCTGCATAGGAGGGGAACTCTGTTAACGAAGTTCTTGAAGCATGATGTTGAGTAATTAGCCGTTTCGACTTCTGCCTTTGGCATTCGACGATATTCTAAGCTACCTATCTTTGCGATAGGTGGCGTGATTCAGAATAAGGAAGTGTCTGACAAAAAAGTGTACCGAGGCAAAGAAGTGTACCGAGGTACCATAGAGTTTTACTATATCTTAATAACGATAACTTAAGCTAAGAATTT